CACCTCCCCTCCTCCCTTCCACTGTCCTTCCATCCTCTCCTTCCCCCCTCCCTCCTCCTTCCTTACAGGATGTGCGTTTGTCACATTTTCCACCAGAGCCATGGCACAGAATGCAATYAAAGCCATGCACCAGTCTCAGACTATGGAGGTACGGTACTCTTGCCCTTTCTTCAGCTTTCKCTGTCTCATTAGCTCCCTCTTTTTCTATAAATGTGCTGTCTCGTGATTTATACCTTAATAGGCTGGATCTATTTCCATGTCCAATAATTCAGAATGCCTCTACACGGGTGTAAAATCTTTAACTTGTTAGATGGTTGGAGATATGGCACATTAATTTAATTACAAGTTCATTAGTCTCTTCATTATGGGCTGTAAAATATTTACAAAACTGCTGGCTTTAGCGCTAGCTCTACCTCACATTTTACACTGTTGGGTTTTCTAAAGGCTATTTGGATGATGAAAGGTTAGTTTGTCATTTCACTTTTTGCACCAGTATTAAGGACAAGATGGGTTTACGTCAAAGGTCAGCCCCTTTTTGATTGCAACAGTCATAGAGAGGTTAACGTGAGGCAGGAGTTTCATGGATTATGCTGTTTGCCGATGATATTGGGATCTTTCGTGAGAGAAGAAAGCAGGTGGAAGAGAGTCCGATGAGGTTGAGAAATATTTGGGAGAGAATGAAAGAACGTGTGTGAATGATGAAGGAGGTGTAACAATGAAGCTATAAAAAGGAGAGTTRTTGAAGGTGGATGAGTTTAAGTATCAGGGGTCAACCAATCAATCATGACATAAGAGAGGTGGATTGGATGGAGACAACAGTTATGGGCAGAGTTAAAGGGAAGTTTTACAAGATGGTAGTTAGAAGTGTTTAATTTGTGGGATAGTGGATTTACTGGACAAAGAATTGACTMTGAAGTGTCAGATGGGTGGAAAAGAGGAGGCCACTGAGTAGGTTMGTGGATCTACAGTGTTGGCGTGACAGAGGAGGGTGCTGTGAGACTCTGAAAGGGAACAACCAAAAAAAGGCTTTTGTGTCGATAGCTGTCGTTTYCTTAGATGATTTTCCCAACTTCCAAATTGGGTGTGATCCACCATTTTCACACAAATGAAATATTAAAATTCTTGTGTGCCCTATTTTGAGCAGTGTTGTATAAAGTACCACAAAGTGATACTTGAGTAAAAGTACAAGTGTCTTACCAAAAAATTACTTTGGTAAAAGTTAAAGTCTCCTTAAGGAATATTACTTGAGTAAAAGTATTAAAGTATCTGTTATTTGTTGTACTTAAGTATTAAAAGTAAAAGTATTGATTTAAAACAGGGGTGTCAAACTCATTTTCACCGAGGGCCACATGAGCGTTATGGTGGCCCTCGAAGGGCCAGTTGTAATGAACTTTGATGTTTCATGTTTAACTTTGACTAAACAGAGTTTTAACATGTCCTCTTTTAAACACTGATAAGAACTATATGACTGACTAAATCTGTAATAAATACAGAAATATTATTAAAAGTAAAACAAATTAAGTTTTACTCACTGATGAGTTTCTAGTGAGTAGCTGCATTGTGGCAGATTTAGTTTATGTTT